TAATATATAAAGTAATATGTAGTACCTGGTATGGTATTGGACCATTATTCTTTCTTCTTGTCGGTTCGTCGGAATTTCTATTGTACCTGACTCTTTCGTGTCTCTGAGAGGAGTGACTCAACTTTTAGAAACTGTCTGTTATATGTTATCGTTTGTAGGTTACTGATTTGTTTTGTTTTTAATTTTAGTTAGGCTATATAAAAATTCCGTGTAGGAGGCATTTAGATCCTCTGTATCTTTCTGGGAATTGATTCCTTTCGACTGCTTTTGATATGAATCATCTCACTTATGATTCTCTTACGCCATATCGATTCTCTATCTATTATCGACACTTTGTCCCAATTGAATTGATGGTTGAGTTCTAATATATGTTGTGATATGACTGAATGTTTAGATGGATCTAATTTGATGTTGTTAGTGTGTTCTTTTATTCTTGTCTGTAATTTTCTTTTCGTTTGTCCAACATAGCTTTGTTGCTTCACAATTTGCGCATGGGATTTTGTATACTACGTTGTTCTTATTTAATTTGTTTGTCTTGTCTTTTATAGCGTTAATGAATCTGTTCATTTTGTTAATGACTCTGAAACCTAATATGAATTTCGACTTATCTATTAGAGGTTTTATTAAGTTTTGGACGGAACTCAAAAATGGAAGTACTAATAATTTTTTTGGAGGAGTTTCGTTCGCAGGAGTTGTCTCCGAATCGTCATTTATGTTCGTATTTTTGTTCTGTCTATGTTTTATTGTTTTAATTCTATTGTTAATTTGATTAAAAATCAGTTGGAGGGGATATCCATTGTCAAGTAATATTTTTATGCAAATGTCAAGATTTTTAGTATGATATATTGGATGTGACAATAGTAATGCCCTGTCTATCAAGTTGTATAGTGTGCCTATTTTGTGGTTCATCGGATGATTAGAATAATACGATAATAGTCTCCCTGAAAAGGTTGGTTTATGATACCAATCGATTTGGATTTTGTTTTCGGCAATTTCTAGTTGAAGTTCTAAGAAGTTAATCTTTCTATTGGTTTCTTTTTCAATTGTAAATTGTAGCCTCTCATGGTACCCATTGAACTTGGTTAAGATGTTGTTGATTAAAGAATACGGGGCTGCTAACAATATGTCGTCCACATATCTATAATAGAATATTATTGACTGTTCAAACTCTGTAAATATTTGTTCTTCTAGATCTCTCATTACTATGTCAGCTATGATAGGCGAGAGAGGGGAACCCATCGGTGTGCCATATGTTTGTTTGTATATGACGTTATCAAACGTGAAGAAGGTGGATGTTAATATGAAATTCACCGCGGACAGAAATTCTTTTTTAGGAATTTCTGTGTTGTTCTTTATTAGTTCCCATCTCTCTTTAATGCCTTTGATGGCGAGATCTAATGGGACATTAGTGAACAGAGAAATAACATCTAGTGAAAAGAGTGTGGTATCTTCTGGTATAGTCATTCCTGACAATTTTTTATATAATTCAAAACTGTTGTCTATATGGCTTTTTGCTTTCGGAATACTGGTTGATATGATTTATTAGGATTATATTAATTATTTAATTTAAGAATTTAATGTACGCTGAAGAAGGCACTGTGTGCAGAAACGCGTCCGTACGTAGTTTAAGTAGCAAATGTAAAGAGCTATAAGGTATTAATTATATTTATCCAACCTATAAGCTTGTAAAACTTGGCCTTATTTACATTATTAATTCACGAAATAATTTTCATACTTTTCATGCGCATATCTTTGTTTGTAGACGATAATAAGAATGACCAAGAACCACAAACAATGCACTGATCAAATAAATCAGGTAATATTATAGAGATAACGATTATTTTCATATTTCGAATAAAAAATTTTATTTACAAACAGAACGTGTCTTTTAAAAATGATTCAAATGATCAATAAATTTACTTAAAAAATATATAATAAAAAATTACCAATGAAAATTTCAGATGTGCCAATTGATGAACCATCTACATCGAAAATCATTCTTGACGTGATGGCCCCCGTGATGAATGAAAACTCAATAGATCAGTTGGACAATATATTGTTTGCCGACGCAGAATTCAAATGTATAATATACGAGTGTATAAATACGTGTACGATAAAATATTAATCATTTTTTACCCATTCTTCACAGATAAAGAATCACAGCTGATAACACAAAGCCCAAAACAAAAAGACAAGAAAACTAAGATTTCATCCGAACATGTTGAAGTAATGAAGGCTATTGAAGGAATAAATTCGGTGCTTAAACAAGTTTTAGAAAATCAAAATAAATTGATGAATTTGTGGGAAGCGTCAGGTATCCTTAAAAGTATGCCTCAAGCCTTTAACGAAAAATATGAATTAAATATACCTTTTAAAACAATAGAGGAGTTTATAAATTTCAATGAATTATTGCAAAGCAATAATGATTGTTTGTGTAATTTTGTAAGTATAATATAAATGTTAATTAAATATTATTCTGTTATTATTGTTATCACTGATTAATATCATTTGCAATTGTACCAACTAGGTCCGGTCGTTATATGTATGTTTTAATTGATCGACGCAAAAATCATATTAAAACAATTATGAACATATTAAAAAAATATATGTCCCGAGATGTCGCTTTAAGATATACAGCACAAAAACAATGTACTGATAAATTAGTGCTCAAGGAATTGCCCTTTTGTAAATCAATAATAGGTATAAAATATTTCAATACATCTATTATTAGCATATATTGTATATAAATATTTTTTAACATTTTTAGAATTAGCAGTGCACAAACTCGTCAACGAAAATAATCAGCCACTAACGGAAAAGGAAATTCTAAATGGTATTGGTTACTGCTTAACAAACGCGAAAGACTGGGATGGACATCGCGTAAAAAGGAACAAAGTACAAAACCCAGAGTGAAGTTGTACTTTTAAAATTTGTAGGCTAAGCTATAATAAGTAATTATATCTGTTAATTAGTATTAGTTTGTTTAATGTTTTCTTGTGTCCGTGATCTCTTAGCGGCAGGTATCGGGATAGCTTCGCTCTTGGTATCGTGACGATTGCTTAGCTCTCGCAGGATGAGAGGCACACAAATGATATACGCTAGTATCCGTATATAAAGAACCTTTAATGCTATTCTTATAATGAGCGGGTTTACACTAAACGTTCGCTCGACGACTTGTGGCGCCGCGCGCGCCGTGTGTGTTCCTAAATACATAGTTACAATACCCAACATCCCCCTCTTAAGTAATTACCGTTCGATATAGCTTTTGGCAGCTGGATCTAAAATTAATCGTCTTGGAGGGGCTCGGTTACGAATGGGTCTAGCAGGGGTTGCTTCGGTTATAGCCGGACCTGGATCTTGATCAGCAGGACTTTGAATTCCGGGCGAGTTCGATGACAACTCGACAGTACTCAAGCTGGTTGAAAGTGATGGTTCGGAGAGTGCCGGATCGGTTGGAGATCCTGGCTGTGGGATCTGCGTTTCCAGAAGCGTCCAGTCGTCTCCTGCTTCCTGAGGTTGGATCGGAGAGTCGGAACCACCTTTCCAGATGTGGTTGATATGTCGATCTACTATTTTACCGTTGTCCAAGCGTACTGAATAACGGATTTTTGACAAGACACCATGGATGGTACCCTGTACTCGCTTGTCCTTCCCTTTTAGGACAACTACACGGTCTCCCACCGCTAAGCTTCGGGGACGAGCTCCGTGATGTTTCGAGAATTGTTTCTGCATCGCTTGTTGTTTGGATACAGTGGGAGTTGTCGCAGTAGGTCTGCTTGATTTCGGAGTCGGTAGCCATTTGGTAAACGGGGTGTTCATGCGACGTCCGAAAAAGAGTTCTGCTGGAGATTTTCCTTCAGGAGCCGCTGAGCATGGTGTGTAGCGATAACTGTAGAGAAAATCGAATAACTGTTGTTTCCAATTGCTGGGATTTTTAGCAATAGCTCTTTTTACAGTGTCCACCATTCTCTCGGCTTGACCGTTTGACTGTGGATGATTCACAGAGGTAAGAATATGCGTCGTTTGCATATCTTTGCAAAAGCTTTTAAATAGTTCTGAAGTGAACTGTGTTCCATGGTCTGTTACGACTATATCCGGGGGTCCATTTCTAGCGAAGATTTCGTGACACAAATCGACGGTGCGTCTTGCAGAGATTGTGGGTGTGATTGCCACTTCTAAGAATTTTGAATAGGCGTCTACGAAGATCAGTAGATATTGTCCATCGATTGGGCCTGCAAAGTCGAGGTGTACCCGTTCCATAGGGCGTGATGGAACAGGCCAAGGTTCTAACGGAACCTTTACGGGTAGTTTTTGATTTAGTGCGCACGGTTCGCACTGACGTATGAGACGTTCTATGTCTTCTGACATTTTGGGCCAGAAAACATATTCACGTGCCAGCTGTTTGGTTCTTCGAATGCCGGGATGGCCCTTGTGGAGTGCTGCTAGGATCGTTGGCTGCAACTTTTTTGGAACGACAATCCTATCGCCCAGGAGTAAGGTGTCATCAACTATGGAGAGTTCTTCTGAACGTTTCCTGAAGTAATCTAAAGGACTTGGATTTTTTGTTGTCTTCCATCCTTCTTTAATGGCATTAAAAACTGAGCGAAGAAATGGATCTTCTTTAGAAGCTGTCTTCAATTTGTTGCGAAGCTCCTTGCCAAATATATCGATCGATGAATTTTTTAAATGGAGGAGTTCACTTTCTGTTTCTTTGATCAACTTGCAGTTCTTCAGCGTTGTCTCTTCGAAATTTGTCGATCAGACGGGATAAGGCATCTGCTTGACCGAAATCTTGCGTACGTATATATTCTATCTTGAAATCGTAGCCCAAGAGTCGCAATGCCCAGCGCTTGAGACGTGCTGCTGTGGTAGGTTTAAGACCTTTCGTGTTCTCTGTCTGCAACAGCGCTACAAGAGGTTTGTGGTCTGTTTGCAGGATAAATCTTCTTCCCCAGATGAACTTATGGAATCGTTCGACGGCGGTAACAAGTGCTAATGCTTCTTTTTCGAGTTGCGAGTAATTTCGCTGAGCGTCTGTGAGGCTTTGTGACATGTGGTAGACAGCGCGTTCATAGCCTTGTGCATCCCGTTGCAATAGTACTCCGCCTACTCCAGTAGCACACGCGTCCGCTGCCACTACGAGTGTCTTCGAGGGGTCGTAATGCTCCAGTAAGAGAGGACTGAGCATAACCTCTTTTATTTTCTTCATTACTGAATCATGTTTTCGATTCCATGACCAATGATGGTTCTTGCGAGTGAGTTCTTCTAGGGGCTGTTTCATCTCGTGCAGGTGAGGAATGAATTTGCCGTAATGGTTGATCATACCTAGAAAACTCTGTACTTCTGATACAGATGTGGGGTTTGGCATGTTAACTATAGCGGACGTAGTTTCAGGATCTGGGGATATACCGCGTGCGTTTACAATTAATCCTAGATATTTTATTTCTTCTGCTGCAAAGTGACATTTCACAGCTCTTAATTTCCAGCCGCAATCTTGTAGACGTGGAGCGTTTTCTGTAGACGATCGTCGTGTTCCTCACGGGTGGAACCTGTTACGACAACATCATCCAAATATGCGTATACTCCTTCGAGGCCAGAAATTGTGACGTCCATAGCTTGTTGAAAAATAGCCGGTGCCGTCTTAATACCAAAAGGCAAGCGTTTGAATCTGTAGAGTCCCTTCGGCGTTGTGATGGTTGTGACTTCTCGATGATCCTCGTCGATCACTAGTTGAAAAAATGCGTCACTCAAATTTGGCTAAAGAAACGATTTCCATTTAATTTTGAGAAAATACTTTCCATGATAGGCAAAGGATGCTTATTATCGACCAAAGCACGGTTGACTCCTGTAGAGTAGTCTGCGCATAAACGAATCTTCCCGTTGCGTTTTTTCACAATAACGATGGGTGATGTCCAAGATGACGCTTCTACTCGTTCAATGATGTCCAAAGATTCGAGACGTTTTAATTCTTCCTCGAGAAGAGTTTCCATGGCGAAAGCGATCTGTCTACACGAATTCTGGACTGGTTGAGCATTATCTGCTAAATTAAACTTTACCTTGAAGTTGTGACATGTACCCAATTCTTCGGCGAATAGACTCGGAAAACGCGCAAGAGCGTCTTCGAGATAGGCATCATGTGGTGACGTAACATCCTTCTCCGTGGTACTTACGATTAGCTTCGATAGCTTGGCGTGCTGTTTATTTGACGTTGAGCTGCCTGGATGCAACTTACTCAATGGTACGTTCCAGAAGTTGAGATTATCAATTGCGTTAAGACCAAAAAGATTGATGTCATCTCGAGAAGCGACGTGTACATAGATTTTGCCTCTACGACCGAGTGCTGTAATTGTACTGTAAAATTTACCGATAATCTCTAATGCACTCCCGCCTGCGTGTTCGACTATATCGCTAGTGATAAGTTTAGGTGAACCGATGCGGAGCCATTCATTTTTACCGATAATCGTGATATCAGAGCCGGTATCGTATTGTAAATTTACCGATTTACCGATTAGAGATGCCGTAATATAATGACGTCTGCGCTTACCGACCGCGGAGAGCGCTTGTATAGCAACGTTTTTTATTTGAAGTTGTGTTTTAGAATCTTCTGTATTTGAGCGGCACATCTTCGCAATGTGGCCCTTCTTCGAACATTTATAACATTCCGCGTCGCGAAAAGTACATTTAGCGCGAGGATGGCTGCCGCCGCAACCATTGCACTTATTTTTTGTTGCCGGTTGAGGCGAGGTTTTCGGCGAACTTTTATCCTTAGAAATTTTCTGTTTTCTTGGATTGTCTTTGGATTGAGTAATACTTAATACCGTAGTTTGCGGAGGTTTCGAAGGATTCTCTAATGTCTTCATGCCTGACGTGACATTCATGTAAGCTTCTAGCTCTGCGACGACATCCTTTAGTGAAGCATCTTGATTCTTCTCAATGACTCGAAGTGCAATCTTCTTTAGTTGATCGTTGTCACTCGAGTAACAGAACGATTGTAGCAATAACAGTGTTCGAAGACTGTCATCCGTTAACTTTGATCGGTCGAAATCGGCCGCGTGGCGATTGATACGATCGATGTGCTCAGAGATCGGTACCGCTTTGTCATACCGATAATTTAATATTTCAATACGTCGACGAGTAAGAGGCACTTTATCACGAAAGAGTTCCTTGAGCTTGGAAAGGAGATCTTCCAAAGATAATTGAGACGGAACCGTAGGTGCAACGTGATCCACCAATCTGTCAAATTCCGTTTGACCTAGCTTGTCTAAAACTAGGCGTGTTCGCATTTCAGCCGGTAAACAACTCGTTTCCGTGACGATGGTGTACTCGTAGCGAAGTAACCACTTCTCGAATGGCTTTATTTCGTCGCCCGAACCATAGCTATATTTCTCGACGCGAGCACTCAAATGGTTGAAAATTTCGATTTGAGATGGTGAGTGTGGACGGGCTGGATCCTCCCGTTTTTCTTCCTGGCGATTGAGTTGAAGCTGGAGAAGAGAATTAACGGCTGCCATAAGAGTCTCGAGCTGACTTGTTGTATTAGCCATCGTTGTAGGTTAAGTTTTGGTCCGCAGCGCCAGTTGTTGTGTCCGTGATCTCTTAGCGGCAGGTATCGGGATAGCTTCGCTCTTGGTATCGTGACGATTGCTTAGCTCTCGCAGGATGAGAGGCACACAAATGATATACGCTAGTATCCGTATATGTATAAAGAACCTTTAATGCTGTTCTTACAATGAGCGGGTTTACATTAAACGTTCGCTCGACGACTTGTGGCGCCGCGCGCGCCGTGTGTGTTCCTAACTACATAGTTACAATACCCAACAGTTTATATGAGAATTTTTGTTTTGCCAACGTTAAATAAAAGTATTTTCTTTTGCTTCCTCATAGAGGAAGCTTTGTTTTCATGCGAAAATTTTTTTTGGGTTTTGGGTTTAGAATGTTTAAAAAACTAAAAAAACACACTTATTTAAAAAATGTGTGTGTGTGTTTGTGCGCAATAATTTTTCGCAATCTCACCTACGCATTTTTTTAGATATCCTCAAAAAAACACTTTTTGCTTCCTCATAGAGGAAGCTTTGTTTTCATGCGAAAAATTTTTTTCCAGTTTTCATTGCCAATGGGTTTAGAATGTTTTAAAAACTCAAAAAAACAATTTTTTAAAAAATGTATGTGTGTGTGTGTGTGTGTATGTCATAAAAATTGTTCGCGCTCTCACCTCCACAATTTTTGAGATATCGCCTT